TCTACTACGTACTCGTCTCTCTCGTACTACTCTCGTACTCTACTCTCTCTCTCTCTCTCTCTCTACTCTCTCTCTCTCTCTCTCTCTCTCTCTCTCTCTCTCTCTCTCTCTCTCTCTCTCTCTCTCTCTCTCTCTCTCTCTCTCTCTCTCTCTCTCTCTCTCTCTCTCTCTCTCGAATTGTGAGATAACGAAGAGAAAGTCTTCTCTCTAATCTCTATGAATCACAGTGAGAGGGGGAAGAAGAAGGCTCTTTCTCTCTATCTCAAGCCTCAAGAAGCGTCAGAGGAGGTAGGCCCGCGCGTTTTTGAAAGCGGCGGAGGAGGAAAGGGGATTGAGTGTCATGTGCTAGGGTTTTAATTGGAGCCACCCTTGGGGAAAATTTGACAACTGGAGGTTGGAAGTTTCAGCTCCTAAAGTTGAAAGTTCTAGTTTTCTGTAGCACTTCTATATTGATAACAGCTTTAGAAATTTAGCTCCACGAAGTTTGGGGATTTTAAAAAATTGAAATTCGCAGCTTTTATCCCCCACAGAAGTTCACATATCTTGTTTTTTTAGAAAGTTGGCCAATAACCTTGATTTTTTGTTTCTCTCTCTAAATTATCTCTCTAATCATGCCTTTCATGTCTCTAACTCCTATCTCTCTAATTGTGTTATTTCTCTCTCTAACTCAATTATCTATTCAAATGTGTTCTTTCTCTATATAACTCCTCCCTCTATGCCACTCTCCCCCAACTCTCTCTGACCTCTTATTTTTCTCTTTAATCATACTCTCTCTCCCTAAATCATTCTCACTAATCGTGCCTCTTATCTCTCTAACTCATTTATTTCTCTAATCATGCCCATTTTCTTTCTAACCCATCTATCCGTTTCTCTATTTAACTTCTCTCTCTTTTTAACCATGTCTTCTATCTCTATAATCGTGTCGTTTCTCTCGCTAACTTTTTCCTTGACGACATTTTTCTCTAACTAACTTTTTTATCTCTCTAACCATATATTTTCTCTCTATAATCATGTCCTTTTTCGTCCTAACTCCATCTCTCTCTATATGTGGTCTTTCTCACTCTAAGCTCCTTTCTCTATCAAATTGTGTCATTTGTCCTCTCATATCATGCCATGCTCTCTCTAACTCTACTCTCTCTCTCTCTAGATGTGATTTTCGTCTCTCTATTTGTGCCCTTCTCTCTCTCTCTCTCTGAGTCCTCTCTTTAACCATGCTCTTTGTTTCTCTAAATCCTTGTCTATGTAATATGCACTCTCTCTAATTACTCTCTCTAGCCATGCCTTTGTTGCACTCCCTTTCACTTCTCTTTATGTGAAGTCATGAAGCCTTATCTCTATGAAGTTTGTTTTAGATCACCGTGAAGTCTGATCTCTCTATTAACAACTTCCAAATATGTTCTCAAACAAGTATTCTAAATTTTGTACATATCAGCAGCTTCAGCTTCCAATAATCTATGACTTCTTAGTTCCAATGAATCCATAGCTTTCCGTTACCGAATGTGCCCTTCAATTGTCGCCTCAGAGATTAGGGAATTTTTCAAAACGCAGAATAGATTAATTATTTAATAGTGGGAAAATTATATGTCGGCCTAACTTTCTAAACTTTCAAACAGTTCTAACTCAAAACTAGTGGATGAGTGGTTTGATCTGCCGATCCAGTTTTCAAAACATTGGTTTGAGTTGTTGATATATTTTTTGAAATTGAACGTGGATGGACTTTTTTGAGATTTAAAAAATCTAGCTTATTTTTATTCTTAGAAAAACTATCCATGGTTAGTGTTTTTAAAAATTTAGTACGTCTACAAGGCATTTCATCATCCAAAGGGTGCACCGCTACAGTGTCCACTTTTCCCCATTTTTGGGCCCTGGGGGCATTCCTTTCATCTGAATTTGGTTTTACAATTTTCAAACTCAATGAAGAACATACCAAAAAAGGGCCAGATACAAGTGCTCAAAGGAACTTGTTCGATTGAAATTTTGTTTCTTGAACAAACCTAAAAAAACAAAACTCCATTTTGAGTTCTTTTAAGGCTTTTTGAGTTCTAAAAACACAAGCCTAAAAAAACCTAAAAGAACACTCATTGAGTTCAACTTTTTGTTTATCAAAAAAAAAAGATAGAACTAACTTTTTCATCAATAGAATGTATTTAGATTTGGCCAGTCTTGGCTGCAGTAGCGTACGCCTTGGCTCGATTTAGTTTTGGGCCTAGCTTAAATGCATGATGATGAGACCCGAGCCCATCCCAAAATAAAAAATATCAGTCGGGTTGGGTCCATTTAGATATGGGCCAACAAAAAAAAACTTAATACATGTGATGATACTAGAAAAACGGCTCTCACAATTAGGGCTAGCAACGGGTCCATCTTGGGGTGAGCCACCCTTGGCCCTAGTCTTCATAGGGCCAGCCCAGGCAAGCCCTGGAGAGGACCGGGCCAACCAGGCTCTGGCCCTGATAGGGCCAAGATGGGTCAAGTAGAATAAAAGAAAAATCCCTATCTAGCCCTACCCTCAAGCAACTCTTGGTTGCCTAGGCCCTAATTTTTAAGAGTTGGTCAGAGCCCAGATACTCAACTCATTGCTGCCCCTAAGTTCGCCCACTGAAAACTTGGTCCAGCCCAACCTAAGGGCACTGACAACTTGTGGCATCACCCGAACATCTTAAAAGCCATGGGGTAGCCAGTAGCCCGACAATAGCCCTAACAATTAAGAAATGCACTCGTTTCCCATGAACCCGTTTTTTATAATATCTTGTATTTTTTCTATTTTCATAATGCCGAAAACATGTGGTGAAGACTTTGGAAAACATTATGAGAACTTTTTATAGGGCAATATGGGAATGAAAAAAAAAAATGAAACTTGTGAATTGGGAAAATGTATGTACTTCCAAAAAAGATGGGGGTCTATGAGTTAAAAAACTTAAATTGATGAACATTAGCCTATCGAGTAAATGGTAGTCGCGTTTTCAAAATCAATAGGATTGTTTATATGGACAGGTGTTAAAAGATAAATATGGATTAGATGTGTTGACTGGCCTCATTAAAAGTCCAAGATGTAAGGCTGGTTTTTCGAGTATTTGGAAATGAATTGATACATGCAAATCATTATATCTTAGTCATTGTCATAAAGTAGCTAGAAAAAGAGATAAAACCTTATTCTATTTTGATAAGTGGTTGGGAGACCTTGCTCTTCGATATTCTTTCATCGAGGTATTCTCAAAAGTCGACAATCATTTGGCCTCATTGAAAGATCTAAGAGGGGCTGATTTTACTAACTCTTATTGGAACATTATTTGCAAGTACAGTTGGGTCTCAGACTCTTTCTTTTATGAGTTCCAATTGCTTATGAATCTGTTGCATAATTTGTTTTTATGTTCCCAATAAAGATGATCAATTGATGTAGGAACTCACAGCTTCATAGATTTTTCAATTAAGTATGTCTATCGACTACTGTATGAGGAGATTCACAGAGCGGCTGATGAGAGTTTAGTAAGAATATGGAATTTGTAGGTACTGCTAAAGGTTCAGTAACCTTTATAGGTAGCTTTTACTCTAAGCTTGTGGGATTGGTGCAGAAGTTGTTGAATCTAAATATTCTGCACCCACAAAGCCCATAATTGATCCTCTCCCAATAAAGATGATCGATTGATGTAGGAACTCACAGCTTTAAAGATTTTTTAATTATGTCTATCGACTGCTATATGAGGAGATTCACATAACGATTGATCATAGGTTAGTAAGTATATGGAATTTGTAGGTGTTGCTAAAGGTTCAGTTACCTTTGTAAGTAGCTTTTACTCTAAGCTTGTAGGATTGGTGTAGAAGTTGTTGAATCTAAATATTCTGGTCCCACAAAGCCCATAGTTGATCCTCTCTCAATAGATGTACCTAATTTGCCGAAAATTGACATGGTGTTATGGAGAGCTTTATGGGTGAGCATTATTTGGAATATTTGGAGAGAGAGAGAGAGAGAGAGAAAGGGAAAACCTTTGAATGACACAATGTGAGATTGAAATTTTGAAGTACAATACCTTAACTGCAATAGTTGAATGGTTTTCAACAAACAAAAATTGTAAGTTCATCCCGAAGTCACAAAATTTTTAGAATGCATGTGAAGGTGCTAAGCTTAAGAATAACAGATAGGTTTGAAATGCTATTAATGATCGAAAAGTTTGAAATGCTATTTGGATAGGTTTGAAATGCTATTAATGACTGACAAGTTTAAAATGCCATTCGGATAGGTTTAAAATGCTGACTGACAAGTTTAAAATACTATTTGGATGCCTCTTCAAAAAAAATTACTTAAAACCATGCAGTCTTTACCAAATATTTTGCTCACCCTACCCTTTTGCTTAGGGTGATCCAATTGTCAGCAACAGGTCAAATGGCCATGCGGTCTTACTTCTCCATCACATGACGGCCGCGGTCGGCAGGTTCGGATTCCTTTTATGCTTTAGACTCCCACATTTTTTTGATGTCGGATAACATCGTTTGTCTCGTCTATTGAAGTTGAATAAGACGATCTTCTAGGGCAAATGAATAAGACGCTCTATTGTCTCTTATATTATAAGCTATTGGATAAGACACTTTGTCTATAGGCATTTTTTGAATTTTGATATCTTTATTTTTCATTTTTTAGAATAAATAACTTTTTTTTAATTTTTTAATGTCATAACACTAAAATTTATAAAGAGTTTTATTTTTGTTTTTAGTCATATGATATGGAAGTATTTTTTAACACTTTTTAAATCATGTTTATTATAATATTATAATTGATAACTATACATCGATAACCAAATCTTGTATTTTATTTATTAATTTATTTAAATTATGAATTATATAATGTATTATTTTTTCTTATAGTTGTAAATAAGATTTTTTAAATTAGATTATATTATAAGATATTTTAGATTTTATTATTATATGTATAATAAAATAGTTATAAAATATAAACTAATAATTTCAATTTTAGTATATAATAATGTAGTTAGTTAAGTTATGATAATTTTTAATGAGAAAGCAAATTAATAAATGTTTGATATCTTGATGTGATACTAATTTTCACCAATATTTACAAAGTAATGAAAGTACATAATGAACTACTCATAATTTATTTTATAAACTAAAAGAACACTATTTTTCCTTGCTGCTAACTTTCTTAGATTCTAGGAAACAGATGAAAATTGGTAGCCTCAAAGTTGGGAACCTGTTTTAGAATTTGTGGGGCTAGTATGTTTACCTGATTGAGAATCTGTGGTGCTAGTGTTTTTACCTGTTTAACATTGGGAAAACTAGTGGATTGTTTACAAAGAGATCATTTTTCTTTGAACATGGAGGCCACTGTCATTCTCATTCACTTGATGTCAAACTGAATGGCTTGGGGTGAGTCACGAAGTTCCAAAATCTTTTTTTAGAACTTTGTTTATGTTCAACGACACTCTTGCAACTACCCATTTTGAAATTTAAAAGATAATAATGATTGTGACCATATAGAAAGATAAATGATCTCTTTGCAGATAATCCTATATGTATCTATATAGTAACCATGTAGAAAGATAAATGATCGTTTTGTAGAAAATCCTATATATATCTATATAGGGTAGTGATTTCATGCAACAGTTGTATCATAGTATAATGCAACCATCCTTCTAAAAAACCATGTTTATGGTAATTGTTTGACCCAAAATTTTACACGCACATTCTCTTCATCTTAATAATCAACATCTTAATAATCAAATCTAAAATATATATATATATATATATATGGTCAAAATGAGTCCCATCCAATAATGAATGTAGACCGTCCATTTGATGAATTTTAAGATCTAGACCTTTATGAAATCAAAAATTATTTTATTTAATATTATTAATCGAATGATAATAAAATTATCTAAAAAATTTGTAAAAGAAAAAAATAATTTTAAGGTCTAGATCTAAACATCTCACCAAAATGAATGACCTACGTTAATTGGGCTAAAAAAATGCTTTATAGGTTGCATTCTCAAATTTTTATTTTTTTTTATCGTTCATTAGAATGGAAATAGTGTATATTTTAAAGTTTGAATCAAACAAATGGCATTAATATCGTTTTTAAAGGTTGTTGCATCACTATCATTTGTGTAGGACCCCAAATGATCACCATTAAATTTGACACAAATCTCTATAAAAGTTATTACATGGGTGTGAGACTTTGACTTTTCTAGAGATCTATGTCAAATTTAATAGCGATCCTTTGGGGTCCTATACACATGGGTGTGGAGGGTCTCATAAGGTCATTTCCCTATATATATATATATATGAAGACACTATGCAATGCCCATGAGCGAAAATACATAGTGTTTTGGCCTATAGGCTCATCATCATCCAAAAAAATCGGGAAGCCTGCTCTTTTCGACCACCACGAATCTAGCATGTCCGTGGCGGTACCTCACAGACATATTTGGTTCATGACGATAAAAAATCATACGGAACCGCAACGAACCCCGTGCCGTCAGTTGCAAGTCAAATCGCCACGGATATAGCAAGTACGTGGCAATGGCGAAACAAGGTCCTACACACATTGGTGGAGGATGGTCCTNTAGGATCTATTCTCATAGATTATATAAGAATTACGGCCTTACCCTTCAAAAGTACTCTAATTGCACTCACAACTGATGAAGTGGTTAGTTAAG